GCATAATTTACCATTTGCCGCATGCATAATTTGGCAATCTTCGCAGCATAATCCTGGACACCCTACTGGGGAACAATATAAATCAGTTATCATCCACAATAACAAGCACTTATCACATATTTGAGATTAACTAATTAGAACGATCGATTTCGACTTAGCTGGCTAAGCCAAGTCAATAAATTAGAGTCACAACCAAAATACGAACGTGTTCTAAAATAAATAGAAAAATTTGTCCGATACTATGTAGTAAAATTTTAAAATAGATCCTAGTCATTCATTGAATAAGATGTATTCATTAGGGCAAGTAATAAGAAATAGTTACGTCTAAACATATTTTGACTGCCATTGTCAAAAAAATAAACTATAATATATACTAAATAATGCTTCTGTATAAAAAATAGATTATTTTGTCTATTCATTAAAATATAATTAAACATTCTTAAATTCACGAATAACATATCTGATATATAAACCCATAAATAAAGATTTTGTGATATTTGTATTATTAACATTAATAATTTCATGTTTATAAATAATGTATAAACGAACTATAAATCGTGCATTTTTAAAGATTTACAAAATTATCACCTAGAATTAAGAAGCAATTATCTAAAAAAAAAATAAAATAAAATAAACACTATATAATATAATATTTATCCTTCCCGCTCACTAATTGCTTGTCGCTCACTAACTGTTTGTTTAAATGCACTAATAACTTTAATCATTAATAATACTTTTCTCATTTTTTTAACATTTCTAGCGATTCTTTTCATTAACAAAGATCGTTCACGACGTGCAGCTAACTTTTCACGCCTTGCTGATGATGGAAAAAGTTTAGCTATCAATTCAAATGACCAATAATGATATATTAATACTTTAACAAAGTCAAGGAATATGAATATTAACAAAGAGATCTACTTAGTTCAAAATGCATACGTATAATAAAATGATTAATATACCATTTATAAATGTGGAAATAATTAATATTCGAATGCCTTAAAGACCCACCGATAAAATAATAATGGACATAATCCATCCAATAGATTCGGTAAGCCATCCGAAAGCCGATAAAATCATTGCAAAAATTTGTGTAACCAATATTGAAACAACGAAAATCGGTGATGGAAGAACTTCCCAGAAGTGACCCGTTAACCGTGTAGAAAATATTACAAAGTGTGGAGCTGATGATATATGTAAGTACATTACTGTGTAAAGTTGTCCTTTTGTCAAAAAACGTTGGATGATTGTGAGAAAAGGGATCAAATTTGAAAAACGATAAATTGAGAATATGTAAAGCGAGAGATGAGGGTATGGTATTCCTGGTAAATTACCTGGTGTTACTTTAATTACATGCAAGAAAATGAAATAATGTGCAAAACTAAACATTGTTAAAAACATTCCCATAATTATACTAAGCGTGATTAATTGCCCGATGCGCCATTTATCTGGACTGTCAGATATCTTATAGTAGATAAATAAAATAGTACATTCAATATAAAATAAAAAATTTTCAATTTGCACTTTTACCATACCCATTCATACCTGTGTATTATCAACCGCAATGGCTAAAGTTGCTGCATCATTCAACAGCGCAATCATAATTAACAATACTGCTGGTAAACTCCAATCCAAAGCCAAGATTACGCAAAAGAAAAATAGTAAAAAATGTATTGTAGAAGTTATACGATATAAAGAATAGGATCTCATACGTTGAAATATGGCTCGAGAAGTCATAATTCCGTCAATTATTGTTGAAAGGCCAGGTGCTAATAATACAATA